AGCCCCTTTGGAGCTCTTCACAATCTCTTGTTTAAGCCACCCTGAACACTTTATGAACAAGTTAAAAATCACAGGTCTTAATACTTACCCTGGAAGAATCCCCTTTCTACATCCCCTGTTGGAAGAATTGTCCATTCATTCCTATTCTCTGCTTCCTGTTTACTTAACCGGTTCCTGATCCACAAGATGACCTCTCCTCTTATTCCTTAACTTACTTGGGAGTCTTTGGGGAGGTACCTAGTTGAAAGCTTTTTGAAAGTCCTAGTATACTATATCAGCTGGATCACATCTGCTTGCTGACACCATTGAAGAACTCTGAACAGATTTGTGAGACAGGATTTACAATTTCCACATCTGCCAAATTTTCAAATAGACAATCTCAACTTTAAAATTTGACAATATGTTTCATTGATAATGTCTAATCCAGCTTAAATTGGCCTAATAGGCACAGGTACGGAAATTAAATAATACCCAGGTATCACTCAGAAGAATGGTTTAAAAATGACAACTTGGTTTTATGGTAAATAACTTTATTACTTTCTTAACTCTTGCTTACATTGCTGGGCTAATCATAGACTTAATATGTTTGAAAGCTTTGGCAAAAGCAAGGCAGTACAATCAGAAGCTGAAGCAAGAATTTTGCATATGGAAAATTAGCATCAAGTGCAAATGTTCTTGCAACAGAACCAGTATATGAAAAACCACTGTGAGAGTGACTCACTGATGGACACATTTGTTGTTGTTTTCATGATCTTTTGCAATGTGTTTGCTGGTTTCCACAGCCTTGTTTAAATTCAAGCAAAGACCTTTTTGCACCAGCTCTGTAGGATTTCATTTGCGAGTTGTACATTTAATTCTCCACAGCAGATGGTGTTGAGTGGGTGAAGTGCTGTATATTTGCGACAGATTCCTTATCCTACAAAATTAATTAAGTGCTTCATACTGAGACTTAAAATCAGAATTGTATTATTTGTTAAAAGCTAATTCATGCTTGTGGTTTTTAAGGATGTACACAACACAAGATTTGGTGTTTCGAGTATTTCCTTTAATTAGTCAGTAAATGTCTTCTAGACTGAAATGCTACTGCTGTTGTAAATTTGAAATTCACTTGTAAATAAGTGTCATATTTTTGGCTGGAGTATTAGTTTTTCCAGATGTTGCTATGCAGAAGGTTGCTAAGGAAATCAATCAGTGTTCAATTATACGCAGTACAATGGAGCTCTCAGAATGCTTGTTTTCCACAAGCTTCCATATCCTACAGAGTTCTTTGAAATAAGAAATGAAAATGTAAAAAGATAACTTCTTGCTTTTTACAGAGAACTTAAGTGTGCTTGAAAATGTTTGGAAACGGTCAATACCAAATACATGGTTAAAGCACCACCATACTATTAGGCAAACAGGCAACTCATCTAGCCAAATGTATTGCCTACAATAGTGACAAATACCGAATCTCAGAAAAGTTAAGGAACATGAAAAAGTAGCAGGATTTAGTTTTCATCACCCATTCTCATCTCTCCTCGTCCTTAAACATTAGCAAGATATCCTTATGCTCAAGATGTGACTATAGTAATCTTGGCTAACCTTTCTTGGGGAAAACACACACAGAGACACTATCTGGGTGCAGAGCTTCATATTAAATATACATTTTGGACAATCCTGCTCTAATAACTGAAGTAAATTATAGGCACTCACATTACTGTAAATATTTATTATAAATGTAGCAATTTATGTCAGAAATAGAGCACCAAAAACTGACATCAGGGCCATTAGATGAAACGGGTAGGCAGGAAGCACTGAATGAAGACAGGGAAGAGCTGATTGCAGAAAAACCGGTGGATGTGAAGTACTCTTATATTCACTGCAGAAGTTGTTGGAAGGATGCCCGTATCCAAACTATTTTTTTTCTGGTAGTGCAACTGAAGTTGTGTATCAAATACAAGTGACAGGATGAAATATCTGACAAGTTAACAGTATCCATTTTCTAGAGCTCTGTGGTCATGCAGATGTTGTTATTGAACTATGAACATACCTATGCATCATCACGATTAAAATCAGTCTCCTTACCTAAGGAAAGTGTCAGCTCCAGGCTGTGACAAGAGCAGGTATCAACAGAAATCCAGCAGAGGTGAAGTCTAGAATAGGCTAGTTATCACAAAGGAGTCAGCCGACATGAATTCTTGACAGCTCAGTCATAGTAGTCATCAGAGAGCAATACCTAGATCTGTTCTGATACAATGGAAACTGGGCCAAGGTTGGGACTGGAAGCAAGCAAGGTTGGGAAGTAAAAGAGAATAGCGAAGGGTACCTGTTCTCTGTCACATTTCTGTATCTAATGCTGGAAACTTCTAGACACTGAGGGTCAAAAGGAAACAGTGAGTTTTCCATGAGACTAGCCAGATTTGATGTCCCCTCAGGAGGTTGTCTTCAGTGAAAGGTATCTATGCCTCTTGAGCAACTATTGTAGCAATTCTTTTTTTTTAAAAGATCTGAGAATGAGAGAAAGCTGTCTAGAATCGGGGATTCCAGTAGTCATAGTCCAGAGGGCACACAGTTATGTCTTCTTCGTAAGGAAAAAAGACCAACATTTGGGGACAATATTGCAGTTCCCAACCTCTGGTGGACTTGTTTCCACTAATTAGCACCCATAAAATACATGGATAAAGTTTCTATTTTCCACTCTCCCTGGAATACAAGCAACCTCCTTCCACACATAATCCACAATCATCATTTGATCAGTGATCTACAATGCACACATAAAGAAACTTGATGATCTTGCAATGTTATAATGAATACTCAAATTTATTTAAGACGGCCGTAAGCTGCAAAAACTCATCCCACAGCATGAAACTAATTATTGTCACTACTGTTAATCTCTTGCAAAAAAGGGAGAGAAATATTTGTTATTAGTAAAAGTCCTGTATAACTGCACACCATCAAGGAGATAGCTGATATATTATTCCAAAGCTTGGACATGAAGAGCAGTGCTGCAGTTTTATGTATTTCCAATTAGCAACAGAACCTGAAGAAAAGATAAATGTGGAGCAAATTTTTGTATTTATGAGATTCATATAAACCTCTAGGAGGCTGTCCGGGCTATAAACAAAGTGGAGAAATCTGTTTAAACTTCAAATGAATGTCAAAATATTTTGCTACTCTTTAAAGCAGAGAAGGGGAACCTGTGATACTCCATGTTGCTAGACTCCAGCTTCAGTCACCCCCAACAGTTGGTCAGCTGATAGAAGTTGGGAGTCCAAGCATACATTTAGGGCCACAGGTCCCTCATCTCTGCTTTAAAGGTATCCATGGGAAAGTGCTGAAGTCTAGGACAACCTAGAGGATCATAATTCAGCAAACACTACTGCTATGCAAGTTCCAGTAGTGTTTAGAAGTATGAGGGAAATGAACTGATTTCATGCAGCCACAGCGTCCAATTATTTATGCGCATTAGAAGCAAACAAAGGTTGCTCAAGACAGTACTGTAGCAGAGATGCTGAACAGAGCGATGTCTCTCTGGACTCCAGATGCTTACAAAATATACAAACACTCGGGGATTCAAAATGGATGGCCAATTGGCAAATGGTCATTTAAACTATTTCATGCTATTTGAAGTGATTCATTGCTTCTTTACACAGGTTGGAAATTATCACTGGACTGTTAAGACGACTATATCATTTGAAACAGGAGTTCCAGGAGTTCCAGATTCAACTTGCTTTGGCTTGTTTGTTTTCTAGATCCCTCTACCAGTTTCTGTATACTACAGCCAATGCGTCTTGTGTGTATGGCCACTTAACCAAGGATACAAGGCAGGTGAGTCAAAAGTCTAAATGTTACCAAGTGCTCTTGATTCTTTCTGAAGAATTCTTTCTTGATTCTATCTGAAGAAGTGTGCATAGACACAAAAGCTCATACCAATAACAAACTTGGTCTCTTAGGTGCTACAGGAAGGATTTTTTTTATTTTGTTTTGATTCTTTCAGTAAGCTTAGAGACTGATTCACTCTTGAAATTCTAATTCCAGGGGCTATGGCCATTTAAGGTGCTGTGATTATAGGGTTGGTTGATCACTTAAGTGAGTTCTCTGATGCCATTCAAATCACCAGGTTTACTAAATCCTGTGAAATTGTTATCAGCAACATCTTCATTGAGCTATCCACTACCACTCCCAAGTTATTGTTCCTAGTCAGTCAGTCAGTCAGTCAGTCAGTCAGTCAGTTATCAGATTTATGTTGTGGTTTCTCATTGTCAGGATATATACAAAGGAGGTAATAATCATCAGGGGCTCAGCCTGTATTCCGTTCAGCTTTAACTAAAAGAGAGAACTGCAGGAAAACCAGTGAGGTGGGGAAGAAGCCATTCAAGAGGCCCAAGTGGATCGTGGATACTCTCTGATCCCTACAAACACTTAAGGTTAGGAACAAGATTTGGCTGCCATGATTCCATTTTCACTGTTGTCCCTCCCACATTTTATTTTCCAGCTGCCACACAGTATATTTGTTTCTTCTGACTGGATTATTCAGCAGCACTCTCTCCAAAACTGTGATCACTAAGTAGGAAGTACTATTTTTCTATTCTGCACTAGCAATATAGTTAATCTTTAACAAAAGCCATGAGAAATGCCTTTCACTGCTAGGGCTTCTATGGTTATGACCCGCCCTTTGCAGACAAGCATCACTCAGACAATAAAGACCTACAGCTACATCATCACAGCTCCTGAGGAACAGACACTGTTCCACCTTATCCCAAAGAGAATCTGGTTTTGGTTGGCAGCTTATAATTATGAGGAAAAAATGTATACATACTAGATGAGGAAGAGAGACTTGGGCATTATGTAGGAGACCGGCTCTCTTTTAATTCCTCTAAAAACATCCCTGGAACTATTTGTCTGCAATTTGGGAGGCTAAGGCCACTCTTGAGAGACTTCTCTGTACCTGTAAATTTCATTTACTTTTTTTTTAAAAAATGGTAAATTTGTTTAGATGTTTTTAGATTTTTGCATTACAGTTAATGGGAAAACACACAACTTTGTTTTATACAGAATGCTTTGGAACTCAAAACACAGATTGAAGCAGAGCAAGTACAGAAACAGACAGATTCAAGGCAAATCTTAGTGCCTGCATACGCCCCTAATGTGCATTGTTAACTGCATGCATGGAAAAGTTATAAGGGCTGGAAAAATGAAACCAGAATTTTAAAAATGGGATCTACAGGATTAAAAACTATTAAGATATATGGATGAAGCTGTGGTTATGAAAACAGCTGAACACTTTTAAAAATATGGCAAGTCCATAGCCATTCTACACACTTTCATTTATTGTCTGGACAATTTAAATACAAATAATTCAAACACAACAAGGTTATGAAAAAAAACATTTACAATACTTTCCCTCAGAAATGATCTAAACTAGCAAGTTAAACATGAAGTAATACATTATAACTAAAATATACAACTGCCTGGTCCTAAGAAAGATTTTTTTATTTTAAATTTCAGATAGTAAAACACATTGTAGAGAAAAGATTCTGACATGCCTTCCCCACTAATGCTTAGAAATTGCATCAAAACTTTCCCAGCAAACTGCGCTCATTCACAGCAGATGGTGTAGAAAGGTTTTCCCCAAACATTGAATGAGGGCATTTTCGGTTGGTTGTTTTTTTGTTTTGTTTCATTTGAAATTTAAAATCATTTCAAAATGTAAATGAACTGATGACATTTAGGATGCACAGCCTTTGCTGTTAAATTATTCTTGTACTACAAAATGTTTGCTGCTTCAGTGTGGAAAATAAATAAATGAAATAAAACCAGTATGTAGTTTACATGCAGTTAGTGGGTATAAGCATGGGGCGGGGGGGGGGATGCACAAAATAAGCACAAGTTATAAAGAACCATAACGTTTTATTACCATTAAGACTAAACTGGTATTGAAAAAATTGTATATAACAAGACAAGAAAAGCAATAGCAAATTTAACTATCAACTAGATTATGCATAGCGAGTAACTGTTTCTAGTACTCAGGGAAGAGCATGACCTTTTTTTTGTTTTAAATATATAACCATACAAAGCACAAACATACGAAAAGGATCAGTGCACTGAACATGGGAGAGGACTCCCTCAGTCATTTTGTTCCCTTAGCTCTGTTTTCCCCAATCTGAATTACATTAAAATAAAGACCCAGTTGTTGTTGTTTTCTACTGTGCAGTAAGAAAAAAATAATATTCACGACAAACATGACAATATATCAAACAATATTTCTACACAGGTTACCTTGATACCTCTTGCCACTTTAAGTATCATTAAGAAAACATTTTAAGACATATACAAACGAAACTAGCAAAGTGTTACAACTTAGAATAAGTTAACCAAAAGGAAAAAAATAACTTCTTTTTATATATATATATATATATTTATATTATATATACACATACACACACAACAAAATGACACAATAATATGCTTCTTCCCATAGTTTAAGTAAACAAATAAGTAGACTAGCCAAACTAGCAATATTTGATTTTGGCATATGCGTCACATCAGCAATTAAATAAATAAGTGTTTCAAGCAACGTAAAGAGTGTTTCAAATGTGCCAACACAGCCCAATTTATATCAGTATGGGCTAGAAAGTGAATCTGAAAATTCTTAACAAATTTAAAGCAAATGTACTTTTCCCCCTCTAAACACATTACATTTAACTATGATACTAAGATATGTAAATAATTTTGTAGCACCTACTGCTCAAAGAAAGGAACTTTTTGATTAAAATTAATTTTTTTCCAAAACTTTTGTTCTGCTGATATCCCATACTGATGACTTAAAGAAAAACCACCCTGCAACTCATCTCCTTGCTTTTGGGTTTTGACTGTGGGTAACTGTGTGCCTGGGAAGAACACTCTCCCGTTCTGTATTTAATATTTTTATTACATGCTATGAAAAGATACGAAGATCATCTGTTTGTAGCCCATCCTTCAAAAAACAATCTACTTAATCCAGTTTAAAACACACATCTTGATCTCTAAAAAGTTACCAGTGCAGTATGAACATGACAAAGTTGTCAATTTCCCCTAAATTAGCCAGTCAAAATATTTTTTTTCTCAAATCCAGATTCTCTTGTAAAAATTCTTTATATTTTATAAAAATAGATTTTTCTTGAAACCCATTTTCAGCAAAGAGACCACCTCTTTGGCAACATTGTTAATGTTATTTAAACTGTTATGTCATCAGGTATCCCCCCCTTTTACCCTATCCCTAACAGAAGACTGTTTAGTTCACATGATATAAAATAAAAAAGGAAAAATAAAAAAGTTGCAAAATTATGTTTCTTTTTTTCTTCTTCATTTTGCAATTTTTATTGTTCCTCTTTAATTTATGTTGGGGGTTTACCAATCTGATTGGATCAAACATTTTGGAAAAAAAGAGAGCAAAATCTGCTAATCCCATTAGTCTGTAAAAATGGTTTTAGATTTTTTTCATTTATTTATTTATTTTTCAAATGAGTGAATGGTCATCTTAAAAAGACCCACCTTCAAGGAAGGTAGTAAAACTAGCTGGCCGGGTAAAAATCCCTGCACATTGTTATCTATGTATATTATATTCAACAACGACAGCTATGAAAGAACATTCAATGCATCAAAGGTTTTTTGTTTTTTTTCTAAGCATTATAAAATCCTTTCCTGTTCACAGGATATCAACGTTTTAATACTTAGGCAACACTGGCTTATAAAAGTCCATGGTTGAGTATAAGCCTTGAAAGTTTTTTGTTTGTTTGTTCGTATATATATTTATATATATATATATTTATAATAATTATTAAGGATATGAAATTCAGGATTTATGGGTTTTATTGGTTTTAAAGGAAACTTGCAATACTCTGTCTCCTAAGCGATATCCGTTAAGGCTGGCAATTGCCATGGCAGCTTCATCGTAGTTGGTCATGGTGACAAAGCCAAATCCCTTGCACTTGTTGGTGTTGAAGTCGCGAATCACCTTGACGTTATTGACTGCCCCAAAGGGGCCAAAGAGCTGCCACAAGACACTTTCGTCGGAGTCAGGGGACAAGTTGTAGACAAAGATGCACCACCCAGTCCCAGTATGGCCAGGGATGTTCATTCCTACAAGGCTCGTCATCCCATCAATGGTGATCGGAGAAAACCTATCGGATTAACAAAGACAAAAGACAAAAAAAGAGAGGAGGGCTAATCTACAGATCAGTTTTCAAGCATACGTTACATAAAACCAAGACCAAGAAAAGAAAAAGAGCCTGTTAAATTCTCTGCAGTGAAGAACGCACATTCAGCACACGGCGTAATGTTCGGTTTAAAAAGCACTACTAAATGCCTCTGAAACAACAGCTGCTGAACTCAATTATAAGGAACTGAAATTGAGTGTGTATTAGTGGTTCCCTTGGAGAACTTGGCTGCACCCTGCAATCAAATGAAGTCTCCTTTATGTTGTGATCTAGTACACGGTTTTATCTGAGTAGGTTGTAGCTACTACCTTTAATGCCTGATGAAAGCTTAATGGGTTTGATCATGGAGCAAGCTTGCTCCAGAGGCTGGGACCCAAAGCAATGGCTTCAAGTTACAAGAAAGATGATTCTGACTAAACATCAGGAAAAACTTTCTGACGGTAAGAGCTGTTCAATGGTGGAACGAACTCCTTTGGAAGGCGGTGGGCTCTCCTTCCTTGGAGATTTTTAAGCCAAAGTTGGATGGCCATCTGTTATGGATACTTTAGATGAGATTCCTGCATTGCAGACTTCTAGACAAAATGCCCCTTGGGGTCCCTTCCAACTCTATAATTCTATTGTATTCACACAGGCATCAGTGAATTACCAAGTACCTTTATTTGTAACTACTGAGACCCTAGAAAAAAGCATTGCTATCCTGTCTAAGATGTTGTGTGCAATATGAATGTGTATTACATGTGTGAGTTCTGTCTCTTTACATAGATATATTTAAAGCTGTGTGGGGCTAGCTTAGCTGAACCACAACTGTTGACCCCCACAGAGGGCAGCAAGCACTTTTGTTTTCTGTAATTTACTAGACTTATTACTTGCTATACCATTAACATGACAAGTTATGAAAACTAAAGACTGCTTCATGCAAATCTTTGTCCTACATGGATATAATATCTAGGTCCTGGTAGTCAGCAGGACACCCTCTAGTTGTTGTGGACTCTAGTATTTGGGAGGCGCAGCCATGGTGGTGAATGGTTAGGGATGATGGGAGTTTTAGTTCACATTAGCACCCTGATCTAGATGGATTCCAGTGTCCAGAAACTATATGGTAGCTGCTTAAAAACTTACCACATGGTCAACTGAATTTAAGCCGATTGTAACTGGTGCGTCACAACCACCCCAGAAATCAAGGGAAGCGGGGAGGTAAAAAGGAACAAAGTTTAACGCTGAGATTATTCAAGCAAAACTGCTTAACTGCCCTAGTTTAAGTTCATCCTTTCAAGCACCAGGTGGTAAGTTCTGAAGTGACCACTCTCAACTGAATCTGTGCAGGGAAAAATAGGTACTCTGTTACTTCTAAAGTGCAGTAGGAATGTTTTTTACCCTGCCAGGAGTACAATGATCAGAAAGACTTGGGGAATGTATAAAGCAGCTGAAAATCTCTAAATGTTGGGGAGCATGGCTGCCCCACCCTGTGTGATTTCATAAGGCAGACCAAGTGCTGGTTCAAAGCTACAATCCAGAAATATTGCGTGTGTGTGGCTGCACCTACACAGTATTGACATGCAGCATGAAATATACCTGCAGTCTGTGGGTGACATTCTATATTTCTGATACCTACACCCTGTAATAAAAAGCTAGCCCCCAACACACCTCACGCTGTCCCTTTAAGAAAATATCTGCACCCAGAAATTTTCATTTCATTAACTAGGAGAGATCAATTCACATCCAAAGGAAGTCAAAATTTTATGTTATTTATGTCCCCCCCCCAGTTTTGTTGTTCTGATGTATCAATAAAATCTATTTTTAAAAAAGCAAAAGCACATCCAAATCATCTCCCTCATTGGGCATGTCCCCTCCTGCGTCTGCCATCTGGAGGAGAATGGCCCCATTCACACCTCGCAGGAATGTTGGCAAATGCTAATGATCAAATTCTCTTCTGCGGATGTGACAAATGTGGTGTCAAGGAGAGGGGGCTTCCCGACTGGTGAATTTCTGTCCTACTTGGAAATCCACAGAGTGCCTTGCAGCCCACCCCATCTCAAAGACTGGAGTGGGTGGGCCTGTTTTGTCACACCCTACTTTTTCAACATGGATGGATCACAATTGGACATGTGTGCACACAGCTGTGTATGTACCATGTCATGATACGGTGAGAGGCTATACATACAGCATTTTTGGATTATAAATGTGAGAAACAGTCATTTAACCTCTGTGCTGATGTATGTGGATTATTAACAGAGAAGTCATACTAATGTAACAGTTTCATGCCATCAGGACAGTATTTTCAAATTTCCAGTAGTGACACTATGAAATAAAAATCAGAACAAGCAATTTAACTTAAAAGAAGGCAAACCACAAGCTCCAAATTACTGGAAACACTTGTCAAACCTGCAACAAAGAAAATAAGAGGCCTGATTAAGGTGCAAACAGTTACAGCATTTTATGAAACATGGGTAGCTCCCTTACCTTTCTAAACAATATTGGGTTTGAGTCACATTTTCAGTGACAATTTCACACTATAAGCCCAGTGACACCAAATCTTTGTTATAATAAACTCTGATTGAGTGAGACTTTTAAAGTCATTTAACAATACACTTAGGAAATCAGAATGCTTGTAGCTGTTGCACCTAAACCATCTTAGAAGACCTGTAACAAAAGAAAAAGTAGAACATGCACACAAAAATCACACACTATTTTGTGTGTGTGTGTGTGTTTGTGCATGGTGTTAAAGAAAACGAACTGAAGTCCAAACGAAAAGACAGAAAACATTTGGCATGCTGGTGGGGGGAAAAAAGGAAAGAATTAAAAACAAAATAAAGTTAGTGATTAAAAAAAAAAATTATAGCACCAATCTGTGCCAACATGGACATCTGGCAATCTGTTCAATTCTAATTACCTCTTTACGCCATAGGCCATATTAAGCAAATTGTCCAGCCTGAAAAGAGAAGGAGGGTCTCTGGGTTAATGTCTCACAGATGGCAAGATTGCTCAATGGAACTTTTATTAATAATGCTCCATTTTCAAAGAAGAAATTCGTAACATCAACTCCTGTACATCTAGCGGGTCTAATGAATCAGCAGCTATAGAGCTGCTTTTACTTCCACAATAAACAAATGACATTTAAAAATGTGCTGGTAATGAAGAAAGGTAACATTCCACCATCTTACAATTTGATTCATCACAGAAGAATTCCCTTGCGGTTTTGCTTCTGCACACTATATCAGCCTGAAATTCTAACTATTGCTATGATTTCCACTATTTACCTTTCCATTGCCATTAAACCTGTAAATAGAAATAATAATAATAAATATGCTAGTGGCAGCCGTTTAGGATTGTACTAGTATTGTGAATTGTAGACATTTTTCTTTTGTTGGGAGAAATTATTTTTGATGCCTAAAAGCCAGAGCAGATAATCCTAACATTTTTCAGATCAGATCATTAAATAAAAGTTGACAATGTTTAGTATGATGGGCAGTCACAATGTAGCATGTATAAAGGCCTCCCCAACTTTAAAAATTATGGAGCTTTCCATATTAATGTATTAGGCAAATGGGTTTTTGTTTCCCAAGGGGTCAGGGTTGTAGGCAATAAATAACGAACTGAAATTAGCTACATTGTTCAGAACAATTAACTTTAAAATAAAAATGTAACATCCATCACACTTCATCAGAAAAACCAAGAAGTGTTCTGTAAATGCTTTAAATGTGAAACAATTTGTGAATATTCTGTTCAGAAATCTCTATCTGCACAGAATGCTAAACTGTGGTTTTGTTTTAACCTTGGTTAGTTTAAGCAGATATCAATTTGTCTCAACTGACAAGTAAACAAGGCATGGCTTGTTTCCCCAGAACTTGGGTTTACATTCCAGCTCCTCTTGCCTCCACAGTTCGGCAAGCATGTAGGAAAGGTGGCCAAACAAACCATCATTAGGCAAGACTGTTGAGAGAGAGGACATAACATTGAACCACAGTTAAAACAACCTAGGATTTGTGTAGTCAACAACAAACCATGGCTTCACATTGTGATGGTACCAGAAAAAAACCATGGGCTGACACTCAAACGCATCCCACTTTGGTTAAACTAACCATGGTTTAGTATTATGTGTGAGGGAGGCCACTTTATTTCTTTCTATATATGTATTAAACTCAATGAACACATACTGAAATAAAGCTGTGTGTTATTTGCACTTTATCTGAGCACTTCAAAAGCAGGCATTTAATGCCAATAGGTACTAATGCTTTCTCTATGGAAACCAATCCAAATGTAGAAACAAGTTTATGCAAAAGGCTACCATGAATAGGGAAAGTCCCCACAACAGTAGTTCATAAGCAGAGCAACTATACTGTGTTAGAGACATCTAACAGGTGATCAGTATTGTCAACTTTGATTGCCAGAGGAAAAGATCTAGTATATAACCTCCTTCCTGCACCTTTTGCTTAACAAGGGATTGCTGCAAGCTAATCATATCCTGGGGCACATGGCAACAAGTACATAGTTGTTTTTTTACTGTATCTCTAGTTCCCTCGACTGGGGCTTTTATTTTTAATTACCCTACTGCTATGTTAATGTTTTGTATCTTTTTGTATCAATGCACCAAGTATAAATGAAAAATTAATTCTGTTTCTCATTTTTATGTGGGGTAATAATTCACACATATTCCTTTTCTTGTTTACATGATTGTCCTATCATTCCTTTGCCCGACAAAATCTGGTCAAACCACAGTTCTGTCAACTCAGGAACCTGCAAAAAGATGGCCCACCGAACTCCTAGTCATAAGATACTGAAAAGTAACCTATAACAACAATAAATTATTTGGAGAATGTTACCTGAATCTCTGAGCTTGGTGGTGGAGAGGTCCCGGATAGCGTCTGTTGGGAGACTGGTACAGCTGGGAAAGGAGGGCTTGGCTTGTTTTCTGACTGGGGTTATTAGCAAACTTCACAGTAATCGGTTCTGTAGCACCACTAGGCTTCTGGCCATTTAGTCCCTTTATGGCTTCTTCTGCCTCTATTCTCTTATCAAAACGGATAAATCCTACACCACGAGAAACACCTGGGAAAAGAATATTGCATTTAAATAAGCAAAAGAAGAAAGCGGAAAAAGTTTCAAGAACCTACTACACAAGGCCACAGGAAGTTACGTAACACCACAGGAAATAAAGTGTTGCATGCATTGTTGTTGTTTAGTCGTGTCCGACTCTTCGTGACCCCATGGACCAGAGCACGCCAGGCACTCCTGTCTTCCATTGCCTCCCGCAGTTTGGTCAAACTTTGTAGCTTCGAGAACACTGTCCAACCACCTCGTCCTCTGTCGTCCCCTTCTCCTTGTGCCCTCAATCTTTCCCAGCACCAGGGTCTTTTCCAGGGAGTCTGCTCTTCTCATGAGGTGGCCAAAGTGTTGGAGCCTCAGCTTCATGATCTGTACTTCCAGTGAGCACTCAGGGGTGATTTCCTTCAGAATGGATAGGTTTGATCTTCTTGCAGTCCATGGGACTCTTAAGAGTCTCCTCCAGCACCATAATTCAAAAGCATCAATTCTATGGTCCAGCTCTCACGTCCATACATCACTGCTGGGAAAACCATAGCTTTAACTCTAAGAACATTTGTTGGCAAGGTGATGTCTCTGCTTTTAAAGATGCTGTCTAGGTTTGTCATTGCTTTTCTCCCAAGAAGCAGGCGTCTTTTAATTTCGTGACTGCTGTTACCATCTGCAGTGATCATGGAACCCAAGAAAGTAAAATCTCTCACTGCCTCCATGTCTTCCCCTTCTATTTACCAGGAAGTAATGTGACCAGTGGCTATGATCTTCGTTTTGTTGATGTTGAGTTTCAGACCATATTTTGCGCTCTCTTCTTTCACCCTCATTAAAAGGCTCTTTAATTCCTCCTCACTTTCTGCCATCAAGGTTGTGTCATCAGGATATCTGTGGTTGTTGGTATTTCTTCTGGCAATCTTGATTCCAGCTTGGGATTCATCCAGCCCAGCCTTTCACATGATGAATTCTGCATATAAGTTAAATAAGCAGGGAGACAATATACAGCCTTGTCGTACTCCTTTCCTAATTTTGAACCAATCAGTTGTTCCATATCCAGTTCTAACTGTAGCTTCTTGTCCCACATAGAGATTTCTCAGGAGTCAGATGAGGTGATCAGGCACTCCCATTTCTTTGAGAACTTGCCATGGTTTGCTGTGGTCAACACAGTCAAATGCTTTTGCGTAGCCAATGAAGCAGAAGTAGATGTTTTTCTGGAACTGTCTAGCTTTCTCCATAATCTAGCACATGTTTGCAATTTGGTTTCTGGTTCTTCTGCCCCTTCGAAATCCAGCTTGCACTTCTGGGAGTTCTTGGTCCACATACTGCTTAAGCCTGCCTTGTAGAATTTTAAGCATAATATTTTTAGCATGAGTCGGAGCATTCTTTGGCACTGGCCTTCTTTGGGATTGGGATGTAGACTGATTTTCTCCAATCCTCTGACCACTGCCGAGTTTTCCAAACTTGCTGGCATACTGAGTGTAGCACCTTAACAGCATCATCTTTTAAAATTTTAAATAGTTCAGCTGGAATATCATCACTTCCACTAGCCTTGTTATTAGCAGTGCTTTCTAAGGCCCATTTGACTTCACTCTCCAGAATGTCTGGCTCAAGGTCAGCAACACTACCTGGGGTGTACGAGACATCCATTTTTTTCTGGTATAATTCCTCTGTGTATTCTCGCCACCTCTTCTTGATGTCTTCTGCTTCTGTTAGGTCCTTACCACTTTTGTCCTTTATTATGGTAATCTTTGTACGGAAATGTTCCTTTCATATCTCCAATTTTCTTGAACAGATCTCTGGTTTTTCCCATTCTGTTGTTTACCTCTATTTCTTTGCATGCACTAAGTTGGCCTTTAAAGAAACCTATTGCAATTGCAACCCTTTTATTTTATTTAAATAATTCATACACTATTTAATTATGTAATCTCTGTGCTGTTTACAAAGATACAGCCTTAATAACTCTACCTATATACGAACATTTATGGTCCTATACACAGTTACGTTAAAAAAAAAGTTTAAAAATTGATATAGAGTTGTAAACATATGGCTGCTTTCCCTCTTATAAATGTGGAATATCATATTTGTCCAAATGTTTTTCTGATGAAACCATGTTTATTTCAGCCTGAACCAGAATTCCCTGCCCCCATTCCAACTGATCACACATTTACAAGACTTCCCCAAATTACTGATTTGTCCCCAACCCACCATTTGGAAATTACAGCTGATTATCAACCTCCCCTCCCTTTGTCAGCAAATCTAAATATGCAATTTCCTTTATATATATTCCTGTGTAGAAAAAGTAGAGGGAAAGCACTTGAGAGCTTTAATTAAAACAGCAAATGAAGGACCTTCCAAACAAATTCAAGTTTAGAAATGTGCTTATAAATAAAATGTTTTTCAACCTGTGACTTGATCAACCAGAATTCTTGAGGTGATGATGCGCCCATATTGCGAGAAAAGCTGCTCTAGCTCTTTCTGGGTCATCGTTTTTGGAAGGCCGCTGACATACAGATTAGCATCTCTGATTGATGCCGAACTTGGACGGGCATAGGAAACCTAGGAGTTAAACAACATGTGGTTAAATAATGTATTATGTTTTAAACATAATAAGAGCCTGCTGATCAGACCAGTGGCCTATCTAGTCAAGCATCCTGTTCTAACAGTGGCCAAAAACAGATGCCTGAAAGCAGACAAAAACACAACAGCACTCTGGCCATTCTCAGCAAGTGGTATTCAGAAGCACTGCCTCCAACAGTGAGGGAGGAACATAACCATAGTCCTCCATGAATATGTCTAATCCCGATTTAAAGACATCCAAGTTAGCCATTAAATGTGGGAACGAGTTCCATAGTTTATGTGCTTCATGAAGAAGTACTTTCTTTTGTCTGTCCTGGGCTTTCCAACATTCAACTTCACTGGATGTCCAAAGTTCTGGTACTATGAAAGAGGGAGAAAAAAAACTCCTCTCGACCCACCTTTTCCATGCCATAATTTTATAAACACCAGCCATGTCACCTCTTAAATGCCGTTCCTCTAAACTAAAGGCTATAACCTTTCCTCATAGAGGAGTTACTCGATCCCCTGAATAATTCTGGCTGCCCTTTTCTGAACTTTTTCCAACTCTACAATATCCTTTTTTGAGGTGAGGAACCAGAACCGTTCACAGTCTTCCAAACGCAGTTGCACCAGGGATTAGTGCTTTTTCAAAGCTGCCACACACAGTTCGACTATCCACCATGACCCCAAGGTCTTGTACCTGGTCAGTCACTGAGTTTCTCATGAGTTTTAAGAGAAATTAAGACCTTATTGTCCCAACACGCATCACTTCACACTTGCTTACACTGAACTGCATTTGTTATTTTGCCACCCATCTTTTTTGTTTTAATGACCTTGAACAATTTACTGTTATCGGCAAACGTGGCTGCCTCACTCCTCACCCCAATCCTAGATCATATGTGGACAAGCTTAAAAGCACAAATCCCACAAAGACCTTTACATCACACACTTGGTTAACAGACTGTTTTCAACCTTTTGAGTTCCGACAGCTTGTTTAAAATAACCTTCTCACTTGATTCTACCTGCTCTTACTATAGAAACTGAGAAGTAGAAAAAATGTTGAGAACAAAAGGAAAGCTGGAAATAATTTTAAAACACATGCAAGGATAAGGTCCTTAAATGCAGGAATAAAAACAGTGACTGAAGATAGGCAGATTAATGTGCAGCCTCCCACACATCAGCTTTGTAAATTTGCCCCTTTGGGCTGTGGGTGTATAAAATGATTTACTGTATCCAGCACAATCCGAAAGAACCTAGTACGTACAGGTTCAGTGTTGTTTTGCTTTAATGGTTAGAAACAGATGAGGCTTTCTACAGAGAGATATTTTCTCTTTATGTATTCATACTAAACTGGCAGGATCTGCCCTGATTGCATTACAGAATAACTAACGAAACATCTGCTTAGTGAACCCATTCTCAGCATCATGCTATTTTCAACTCAGTTCTAACTGCCCCTCAAACTGGAAAAACATCCAGCTGATGCCAGTCAATACATATTAAAATATTATGCAGCATTCTAATAATGCTTTAGCAAAATACAACACATTTCGGTGAAAGAATGATTTAATATTCATTTTAATAACTGCAGTCAACATACAATGTATGATTTATATATAGAGGTCTGTGTAATTTGTCAATATTGTTTCATATTTCCACCAGCTCCAGTTTGAAAATATGTATTTTCCATCTTACAAAAAGCCATTTTGCCAACCCATTCCTTGTACTGCTAGCAATTCCACACAGAGTATAAAGAGATTAAGCTTTTCGGCACACTATAATACTCGAATATACAAACCCAACCACTTTGTGAAGCTTTTCACTTTTGTCTAAAACCAAGTATTTAAAGTCTAGCTTATCCATAAATTGCTGTATTACATTCACGCAACAGCATGTGTGGAGGGGGTCCAAGCCAGTAACACAAGCAACACCTATCTCTCAAAAAGGCAACTGATAGATCTATGTATTTTCTCCACTTCTAAAAACAGATGAGTCAACAAAGAAAATATCAGAGAAAGTCTAATATTTGCCTCCACAATCTTCATTAGAAGAAGATAAACACGTTACACACGTTTACACTGCAAAGAATTTAAAACCACATTTCAATATTTAGGAGTCAGACATAACTTATTTTCTAAAGTATCCCAGTGCATATAAATATAAATGTTAAAAAGAACTGTGATAAAAAGGGAACAAACAATTAGAGGGACTGGTTATCAAATTTTGGTTTCAAGTGGTTTTCAAATTTTAGGTTCAGGGAACATTGAGTCTTTAACAAAACTCTACAGAGGCATAGGATACTGAGACACAGTGTCTTCAAGCCCCATCAGTTATCATTCCTCATCAGCAAAGCCTGTGATGTGGCAAATGTACACTTATCCACAGTAGGTTTGTGAAGATAACAATTTTCTTACTTACACCTCATCCCAAATTGTTTTGGGAAAAGAGCTACTGCTCTCTTCTTTTATTTCCCTATGCAAGGTTGTAGGTGGATGTCAAAGATATATTGGCTATTCCTCTTGTAATACTTGCACAATATTATTACCCCAGTCAACAAATCCTCATATGCTGGAAATGGGCATATCTGCATGTGAAACAGATTATAAGTGTTGGGTTGAGGGGCCATTAGGTAGCAAAGGTTTGGAAGTCAGCCTAACTTCAGCATTTTAAAAACACCTGTGTATGCACAAAACTAGCTGCAATAAACATAAACATAGCTTGTCAAAAACATGTTTATATTTATCAAGTTAATTCCTATTTTGTTTCTCCAGTGATTACATTTTTTTTAAAAAGGCTTACATACAAAATACAGGCATCAGTTCTATTCCTTTGTGGGATGTAATCAAAAAATCCCAATATTTAGTCAGGCATCAGACATATGAAAGACTGCCTGCAGTGGTTCTGTAACTGCCTACTCACTGGATTTTCTTCCTCTAATCTCACATGGTCTTGCAGATAAGCACAAAAATGTACTAGGCCATGTATTGTGAGGAAGAATTGGGGAGCAAAAGGAGAATTAAAAACATACTGGTAAGGCGTATTAGCAGCAAAGTACTCACTATATTTCTTCTGACAAAAAACAAATGAGCCTGGCTACTCACCACCACCAATGTAGGAATATTGCCAGGGTACTCTGATTTGCAACCTAGAGGCAATGGAGTGTCCAGGTAGAGTTTGATTTTATCTTGAAAAAAATTAGATTCTTCATAGCAATTTAGCAAACACCTACTGTTATCCCCTAACTGTAATGACTTTCTGGGCTCTTACTATATACAGACTTTCATTTCTTCTAAGCACTTGTTGTGAATGTCAGAGGTACATGGCTTGAAGCACGTGCTGATAACTGCTGTTGTGTGTGTAATTCACTTACGGATGTCCAACTAACATTGTCTAAGGAGGCACAACGCATACTTCCCACTCCACAGGTGCCACTCAAAAAATTGCTGACTAGCCTAAATGAATACATTACATATTTTTTAAGTTCCTAGTGTTTCATATAAAATGTGTTTTCAAACATCTAATTTCATGCATTTCATCTGTTATATACTAATACTAACTCGTATTGCCATTGCAATGTCTTAAAAAACTTCTGTATCATAAAAGGTAATGGTACCCCTGACCGTTAGGTCCTGTCACGGACGACTCTGGGGCTGCGGTGCTCATCTCGCTCTATAGGCCGAGGGAGCCGGCGTTGTCCACAGACAGCTTCTGGGTATGTGGCCAGCATGACAAAGCTGCTTCTGGCAAACCAGAGCAGCGCACGAAAACGGCATTTACATTCCCGCTGGAATCTACTATTTATCTACTTGCACTTTGACATGCTTTCAAACGCTAGGTGGTCAGGAGCAGGGACTGAACAACAGGAGCTCACCCCGTTGCGGGGATTCGAACCGCCGACCTTCTGATCGGCAAGCCCTAGGATCTGTGGTTTAGACTACAGCGCCACCTGCATCCCTATATGTGGATCTTAGCTTTGTCCTAATTCTGACTCCTAAGACACATATAAGACCGCAAGGAGTGGATGGGGGGGGGAATGGAAAGTACTCATTCAGGTGACATGCACAAATACATCAGATGTAAGACTTGGAGAATGAAAACTACATGTATTCAAACTTCAATACCCAAGTAACCTGAGCTTTAACTTTCATGGAAGCTGTCCTCTAAGTCAAATATTTTAATAATTATACGAAGGAGCTAATGCCTCTTTTACATTCAATGTTACTAGCCTCATGGTACTCTTCCTTTTCTGGTTTACCAAGGCAAGTTGAACACTGGAAAAATGGGAAACCGGGAGAAAGCAAAATGGACAAATCCAACTTAAATAATACAACCTATGCTTTATATGAATGACAATAAAACATTCCAAAATCTTGGAATGTAAACGACACATTCCGAACGCTGGAATTTTAAAGTTTTATTTATGGTGGGTAAGCACCTTCCTATAGATATAACACAGATAATTGTAATAGCTTAAGTCAGGCATAGGCAAACTCCGGTCCTCTAGATGTTTCAGACTACTATTCCCATCATCCCTTACCACTAGTCCTGTTAGCTAGGGATGATGGGAATTGTAGTCCCAAACATCTGGAGGGCCTGAGTTTGCCTATGCCTGGCTTAAGTGTTACGTTACTACAGGAAAAGGGAAGGAGGCAGTAGCTCTGTCTCTTTTGGCCATGTCTCAATTGCATAGCTTCCTATACTCATTGAGGCATAGCTTCCTATACTCATTGAGGCTCCCTGTCTGTTTCAGTACCCTGGAAAGTCAGGGTTCTAGAATGTGCAGGACGTTCTAGAAATGTGCATATATTAAACAGTGTATGAAAGTGGTGGAAGCAGCAGCAGCACGCAGAGCTGTGTGAATGTTTCTTGCTGCTCCCTTTACTTACTTGAAATGGGGGGGGGGACAGAACTGTGGAATTTAAACACAGTGGTAACTGGGTAGTTGTGTAGATCATATTAAAGGATGCAGATAAGAAACAGGGCTTCAAATAAGAGCAGGGTAG